CCTCGTGTAGCTTTGCGCGAAATTCCCAAACAAACAAACAATAAGTGAATTTTCTAGATTTATCTTATATCAGTGAATTTTATTTTATATATAGAGAACGTCCTGTTATATGACGGTAAATGCTTAGTAACCTTTCATTTCAAAATTAAATCTAAATAAATGTTTCATGAACATGTTTCTAAAAATTATTTATAATATATGTGTAAATAATGTTTATCTTGTTTTCTATTATTTCATGAAAACAACGTTTTTTGTGTGTATTTGGTCATCTCCTGTAAGAATTTTTACTTATGTATATATATATATGTGTGTGTGTGTGTGTGTGTGTGTTATTTTCAAATCTTCTTGATAAAATTTTTTAGATTGAACTGTGCGAAAAAAATGTTTCTGGAAAAATATTTCTACATGGTCAAATGTCTGATCCTGTGATTTATGAATTGTTATGGCAAATGCAATGAGTTTTATGGTGAAGATATACCTTTTCATAGAAACTGCTTGTAGATTTTTACTGAATTTTCAAAAATCTCTTACCGAAGGTGGAAAACATCAATAATAATGTATTGTTGCACCATCTATTGAATTTAAAAAATATTTAAGTTGTTTTCGCACTTAAAGTCACTCGTGTTTATTACGTAATATGATATTATTCATCATTTAATCCGTAATTGTATTCGTATTTTTCATTATATTAAGAGAACTTATTGAAAATATTAAAATAAATATATAAAAAATTAGATATAATAATAAAAAATTAACATAAAATCCCAACTCTACTGGGATTTGAATGAGAAGTTCCACATGAGACTCGAGCGCTATAAACAAATAATTCAAATCCTTAGTGCCAGCCATCATCTTCTTGCAGTTTCTTCTAATATTATATGAATTTGCTCTAAACATAATGAGTTAGTAATTAAAAATGTTGCAAATCTCTCCACTCGACTGAGAGTTGAAATGAAGACTTCCGCTTGAGCCAATTTGAACTGTAGCATCAGAGATAAATGGAGCGTTACAAATGGCTTATACATGTGTGTGTGTGTGTTATTTATCAAATAAAGGTATTTTACAAGTTTTTGCTTGTTATTTCACTCCGCCTTTATAGCTTATTTTTGCTTAACAGATGTTACTTACTTGTGACTTATCATTACGGTAGTTTTATTTTTGACTTTGGTATTTTTCATAGTGTTCTGTAACATGTGGCATGGGAGAAAAATACCGTACCTACTGGTGCCAGTATGATGGTAAATCTGTTAGTGAAACCTACTGTGATCCTAAAAGAGTCCCCAAACGCAAAGAGATTTGTAAGCAAACACACTGTCCTAAATGGAAACACGGTAGCTGGAGCGCAGTGAGTATTTCCAATTTTTAATTTTATTTGAAAGAATGAAGAAATATTCTGTGGATCTTTTGCAAAATTACTGGTTATATTAGTGTTTCAAAATTCAACTTCGACTTTTAAATGCATATTTATGAACTTATCACTTTTTAAGATAAAACTTGGGAAATATTTGTTTTGTTTCAGTATAGCTTCTAGTTTTTTTAATCTCGTGACAGAGATTCTTCGAGACCAAATAAAATTACTAGACGACTAATAAGAGCAAATAATTTAAGTCTTATCTGGTGGTTGAAAGATAAACTAAATAAATATTTGGTAGTTGAAGAATCAACCAAGTACGTAAAGTAGGCTTATTGTGATATTATGAATGTAGATAATTTTATTTCTATAAGAGTATGTAAAATAGGACCACTGTGATGTTATGAATGTGATTTTTAGTGTCACGTTACCTGTGGACAAGGTATAATGACACGGTATGTAGGCTGCTTTCTTATGGAGGGTAAACAAGTTGAAAATAAAGACTGTGATGATAGTACTCGACCAGAGAATGAGAAGAAGTGCATGATACCTGAATGTCCGAAGATGTTTCCAAATTCTAGAAGAATTATGGAAATTACACACAATCGAGTTGAAGGGTTCTTCTGGAGAACAGGCCCCTGGGGAGTGGTAAGTGAGTTTCTAATAGGATGGAAAGTTATTCAGGAAAGTAGGTCCATGGGAGTGATAAGAAGTGATGAGTAAGCAATTCTCCAATAAAGTAGAAGTACGTTTTTGGATAAAAACCAATAAAGATAGTTAGTTAAGACAAATAGGAATATTCTGTCTGAATATTCTGTTATGGCTAATCGAGGATAATTGATAGTTAATAGTCATCTTGTTTGTAGAATCGAAGATATATATATATATTTTTTTTACAAAAACCAGGATGAAGGGTGAGTGGTATTCAATAGAAAATAGCTAAATGATTCAAATTGTTCTTGTAGAAATAAGAACAATGAAGAGTGGTTTAGTGCAATGGAAATGTTAAGTAAACAACTTAAGATCAGGTTTAAACAAAGTTGTATTATTACGTAACAGAAATGTTAAGTAAACAACTTAAGATCAGGTTTAAACACAGTTGTATTATTACGTAACAGAAATGTTACTTATGTATCATAATGTTACTTTAACCATAATCGTTCGAACATGTCTTGTTTGCTTATATTTATTAACGCGTGGCAACATTAAACAAAAACTTGTCAGCGACACTGGTTGAGTAAAACAAATTATAATTCTTTTCCAGATAGCTTTACTGACAGCAAAATTATTATGTATAACAGTTAATCCTGATAGATAATTAAACACTTTATTAGAAACTTACCCGTGAAAGTTCATTACAAATAACAGTTACGTAAAATATTTGTACTCTCTGTTTTACACAATAATATACATGTTCGTGTCAGTATTAAATTATATTCATGCACCCAATACTTATAGCCATCCATACTTCTTGTCCCCATTAGAAAGCCCAAGCACGAAAACTTCGAAAATCTAAATGCGCATACTTATCTTATACAGTCCTTTGCGTATCCATGCTAATTTTTGTATAAATTCGTGGATTTAGTACTGAGATCTCACAAAATCCCTTTTGGTTCCAGTATGGAAGCTTACATTTCAGATTTCCGTAATATGAGGTTAGGTTATTATTAATATCAATTTTCAAGTAATTCATATCAGTCAGACCATTTTTAATCAATCTTAAGACTGTTTCTTTTTTCTTCATTTTCTAACATTCAAGAGACTACACGCCAAATTGAAATCATTTTGTCATTAATTATGAGAGAAGCTTAGATAACAAGTAAATACAGTTGCATACTTACTTACGTACCATCGAGAACTACTATTATAAGTAGGGTAGTTGAACCGATAAGTGCCCCTCGACGTGGATTCCTGTACGTGGTGAGGGGACCTCCCAGGGAAGGTTCTGTATTTCCAGTTCCTTCCTCTGGAATCTAAACGTCCACCCACGTGTTTGCCGTGCGTGGCGACCCGTGAAGGAAAGGAGAGGATCCTGGTGGTTGAGTGGTGTCTGGGGCACTGCAGCACACCACTTTGGCCTTGAATTCCTGTAGACGGGTGGCCTTGGGGTGCCCCCCCCCCCGGGGCAATCAGCGGGGCCACTTGGGGTAGGGGCAACTGAGGACCAGGGTTGGGGG